TGAAAAAAATAATAATCATAAAGTTGAATTGGGTGATTGAAGTTTTATTTTATAAATTTTTTTTTATATGGGGAAGGAATAGGGGCGGATCCAAGATTTTATATTAATGGCCGAGGTAAAATTATATAATGATTTAAAAATTTTATGTAATTATATAGCCAAAATTCATGAAACATTGACATAGGCTTGGTTCAAGTATTGAAAGTGAAAGAGGATAAATATCTTAATTTCAATTTATAATGCTTTCTTTTTTGAAGAAAAGAAATCATTGTAAAAATTTTTTTAAATCAGTTACTTTAGAAAATTGAGTTTTCTCCTATTAAAAAAAATATTACATTTAAATATAATATTATATCTTAATCTCGGCCAAAGTTATGTTCTTTGATGTACTCTCTTAGAAAATCCTCCCCTAGTTTAGTTAATTTGGTACATTATGATAAATAGGGCTTTGCTTAATATAGAGTTAAATTGGGCTTTTTAGTCCTTCTTTATACAAAAAAATATAAATATATTTAAAGTATTATGCTCTTTGTTCTATAAATAATTTCTAAATTTGATTTTTAAGGATCAAACTTTTCAACTTTGAATTTATTTTTTTTAATATATTACTAACTAAAATATGAGAAATCACTTTTTTAAAAAACATTAAATGAGGAAGTTTTAAAAAAATAATTTTATAAAAACTAATTTAATAAAATATTTAAAATATCAATAATTAAATTTGATTAAATTTCACCCCAAAAAAATCAGATATAACTTAATGAGACAAAAAGAGTATGTTTTCATTAAAATTTCAAAAATTTTAATTTTGTGAGATCAAATAATTATAAAAAATTTTAATTTTTCTATCTGATTTTCATCAAATTTCAGAAGGCCAATGGAGGCAATTGCCTCCACATCTACATATGTAGATTCATCGATGCAAAAAGAGATTTGAATCCATTTTTTGAAAGTGAGATACAAATATTTATCATTGACCATTTTAGTAGCAAAAATATTTTGATTTTTTTAAAGTTTAATCATGCTTAGATAGCATTAGCAGCATGAATTCAATGACTGTATGGTATACACCAAATAAGAAACCCTAAAAGACATTTCTTATTAGTTTTAGATAAAGACTAAATAGCACATTTAACTGAAAAAAAAATCTGTCTGATTATGAAAATCTTTAACTTCGTTTTGAAATCCCAGATGCGATAGCCGTACATCTTACCTCACTGATCAGTGGAGAACTTGATCTGTCAATTCATCGAAACTTTTTCATTAGAAAAAAATTAAAAGAAATTAATAGCAGTACTGATAAATATAATGACGTTATAATTGCAGAGAAAGGCGAAACCCAACGTAATTTTGTATATGACATTTCTATCTCCCAAATGGTAAAAGGCAAGTAAAAGGGGTAAAAGTGAGCTTTTATCAAAACCTACCGGATCAAGCTAAAATGTAAAAACAGCTTTGGGTCACGTCGAAGGGTTGAGTCATGACTCATAACTCGTGAGACACGACCCTCACCATGCAAACATTGACGCAAGCTCCTAAGATTGCCCTTTGAGGGCCAACCTACGGACTCTAATTCTGAACCTAACGATGACGAATGGGTTCAGTCCCTTTGTGGCTATCAATAATGCTACATCTTGTTTGGTGGCAGCTACATCTATCACCATACAAGGGAGAATAAATTTTTTTGGGTTAAAGCCTATCATGGAGAGTTTTTGTAGCATATAGGGAATTGGTTGTGGCGCACAGAGGAGGATTATGGGAAAAATTTTGGACGAAAGTCTTGGGTTAAGTTTTAAAATTTTTTATTAAAATGATTAAACTAAAATTAAAATTAAAAATTAAATTCAGTAAAATTTATTATATAAATTAAATGTGTAAAATTTAAAAATATTTTAATAAATTTTGATATATATTTTTAAATAAATAATTTTAATAAAAAATTAATAAAATTTTTATCATTAAATAAATATCGATAAAATTTAAATTATAAATAATATTTTAAATAATATTTTATATATTATTTATATTTACATTAAATTTTATCAATATATTAAATTGATTTTTTATTAACATTTTTATTAAATTATTAAAAAAATTTCACAAATTTCATATAAAAAACTTCATATAAATTCAAGATTATGAGTGTTATTTTTTGTTGGAATTTGAAATTTTTGATTTGATTTTGAAATGAATCATAAAATGAAAAATAATAAGATTAAAGAAATCCATCATTCATTATATAGTTTAAATTTTTTATATATAAAAAATGAAATAAAAAATTTATAATAATATATCAATAAACATAAGATTTATTAACAAAATATTAAATTCCGATCACAATTCAAACAAGTTTAGACATAAAAAAAATTGTATTATCCACTAATTCAAGGATTGGTTTCTATTATTTTTACTTTATTAAGCAAAATGTGAATATTATTATATTTAGATATAAGATTTAAAAAAAATCGGATGAATAAATCAATAAAAAATACTTAAGAACTTTAATTTTGTATTGATGTGCATGAAAAATAATGATAAACAAATAAATAATTAATAAAGGATGATGAGGAAAAAGACACAAAGAATCCTGCAGGCTAGGCCGCTAGGGGGTGAGTCTAGCTCTACATATATATATATATATATATGACACGACAGGACTTGAGTAACGCTAGCCAGCCGCTGGCTCCAAAGCCCTTGAGCTCTACCAACGAGAGAAGATCTGAATCTGATACTCGGCAATTAAAATTTTCACTGTTCATCCTTCACTTCAATTAAGGTTCACTTCTGTCGTGTCAAACGCTTCACTTCAATCCAAAGAACCTTTGCAGCCTTGCACCGTCTACCACAGCCACTGTAATTATTAGTATTAAGATAGAGAATAGTGAATGAGAGAAAGGAGCTCAAAAATTCATTCGCGTTGGATCGATCATTGGTTTTTTAAGTTCGACATTTTATTTATGGATCAATACCATTCGTTGATTATGTTTTTGCTGTTGTTTTAATGATCCAATCTTCTGCTAAACTATTTATATATGGCTATTAAAGATTCACTTTGTTTCTGGAATTTAGCAGTTTGCTTAGCTGCAAAGCGTTTTAAAAGTCAGTAAGTCGTAGTAAAAAACAAAAATGGATGAACCAATTATTGAAGTACCGGCTAGATTTTTATGTATGGCACAGTAATTTTGTCCAGATAACGAATCTGGAAGAAGTATATAGAAGATCATCTGGTTTGCAAGCGGGTTGGATCTGGACATGTTGAATTCATTTGTTTCACCATCATCGTCATCATTCTTTACTCCACCTCTTTTAAGCTTTTTGACCATGATGGATTATAATCAAGAAGTAAAATCATTTGTAAATGGGAAAATCAATCATGGCAATCATGCAAAGGACCTTCTTTGTTCTAAATTTGAACCTTGATCCTCATTTTTTTTTATTAAGGTGGTCGTGGTTTAATTATAATAATGAGAATTGAAGTATTAAAATTCAAATCTTAAATTTATTAAATATTATTTTTTAAAAATAATTATATAAGTTAATTAAGTTAAACTTATGATTTGATTATTTTAGAAGGGATAGTTACACTTGTTAAATCAAGTTTAAGTTGTTCTTTGTTATGAGGTTGATCTCTTGTTTAGTCCGTTAAATACTTTAGTTAATTGGGAGGCTAGATAAATCCATCGTTAAAGCAAAATTCCAAAGGATTGAGAAACTTAAAAGAACAACGACGAGCCAGAATTGAGCATAGCCTATCGAAGAAATGATTTCTTCACATGAAAGGCAATTATAGCTATATTTAGTGAAAAGCTAAAGGCCACCAACCCCTAATTCAAATTAAATAATTCATGAATGGCTTTTAAGGAAACTGGTATCATGGTAATAAAAAAAAATGAAATTTTCTCATACTTGGGTCATCAATTAGACAAATTACCTAAGCATGGTGTAAAATCTACTCTGTAATATTTGAAATATTTTCAATGAAAAAATGAATGTTAATTTATTAAATTTGATGTATTAATTAATGAAACAAAAAAAAAATTGATTAAGAAGTTATACAATAACTTTAGAAAGGTTTCAAATTAAGAAAATCGATTGGAGAAATTATTGATATAAGGTATTTGAATGCCCTTGCTTACATGTTTCACGTGAAAAATAATTTCTGTTTTAATTTTACATTGTGCCATTCGGATACCTAACCAATGGTATTCGAAGACCATGCTTGAAAAGCCCTCTTATATAACTTTATACTAAGGCATTGGGATATCTTTGGCTGACATTCGATTGCCATGACTTGAAAAAGTGATTCAAAACAAAATTATAATTGAGGGTTTGATTGCCCTAATTCAAATTTGATTGCTTTTAGTTATAACGACTAATTTCATTTCAAATTAATTATAACCTTTTGTAAAGTGTTTGTTTACTTGTAAAAGGTTGTAAATGACACATATTGAATTTCAAAAGATGCAATCTTAAGGAAAAATAAAACTGACTTAACTAAACAACACAATTGAAGTTACAATTCTTAATTAAGTTCTCTATAAACAGAGATATCACGAATAATTATTCTAAGATAATGAATGAATGAAGAACACTTGGAACTTTTTCTATTTATTTTCTCTAATTCTCAAACTAAGAGCAAGTATCATAGACATTGTTTATCACAAAAAATTGTGAGCAAGAGAAATAGTTTTGTCCCTCATTAAAAGTTTTAAATGGTTTGATTTAGAAGTGTAAAATATTATTAAACAATATTTTATTGTGTCCTAAGATCATTTGATCAAAATTTTTGCATACAGTAATTGATAAAGCCAAAATAAATTTAAAAAAAAGAAGTGATACGGCACATCTCGAAGCCATTTTCTTATAAATTTGATTCTCTATACTGTACCCACTGCTACTCACAAAAGCCAACAGTAACCAGTTACTGCAATTGTCGGGTTTCCCATTATACTGTGATCCTCTGCTTAGTAATAAAGGCAGTTAAAATCACAGACGTTAACTTCCTAGAACACAGAGCTATTATTGCAGAAGGCTTCAAGCTTCTCTGAATTGGTTTGTTACGGGCCAATTTTCTTGATCTCTTTTATGCCTCAGTTCGGGATCAGAGCATTGCCAAAAGTCAAAATAAATTCATTTACGACTATGAGTCTGTGACCGTGACCCAGCACTCACATTCAATGTCATTCCATTTCTACTAGCCATAAATTGTAGAAGAATCCAAAGTTGATACTGCTTCTTTTGCGACCTTTTTGATGACCTTTCTTTTTTACCTGTTCATCTTTCCTTTTCACTATCTCCCAGTCGTGCAGGGGATGAATATTAAGGACGACTTTGGGGGTTTGTCAAACTTGAAAAACTAAGTGACTAACAAGAAGTCAAGAACAAAGAGGAAGGAGGGTGAAAGAAAAATGGATGTGAGGACTAGGAGAGCGAGGGAAAGCAGCCCAGACAGGGCCAAAGTTTGCATGCAGCCAAAGGTCCTGAAACCCATCAGAAAAGTTCGAGTTGTTTACTATCTGACTAGAAACGGCCAGCTTGAGCATCCTCATTACATGGAAGTCACCCATTTGGTGAACCAACCACTTCGTTTGAGAGGTAATTCAAACTCTCAGTCTCATCTGCCCATTTCGCTACTATGATCACCTTTATGTCATTCTTTTGTTGTTTCATAGATGTAATGGAAAGACTCACAGCTCTCAGAGGCAAAGGAATGCCCTCTCTTTACTCTTGGTCTTGCAAAAGGTAATTGCCATTTTTCTTCTTAATTAAACCATCAAATTGCATTTTCCCCCTTTTTTGTGTGTATCTTTTTTACTATTATTAGTGTTTGATTATTAGGAATTACAAGAATGGTTATGTATGGAATGACTTAGCAGACAATGACATCATTCCTCCATCAGATGGAGCTGAATATGTACTCAAAGGCTCGGAATTGGTTGAAGGTTGCTCTGGTCAGCTACTTAATTTCCATACTTAAATTACCTTTGAAAGTTTTTAGAAAACTACTTTATTTTTTTATTCAATTTTGTGACAGAAAGGATAATTTGTTTGTTGCAGAAAGATCACAGCAACTGCAGATCAGCAACAGGGTTCCATATTTTCAGGAACCAAGCCTTCAAGCCAAACAAAAATCCCCAACTTTTACACTGACTCGACACAGGGGAGCCCAAGAAGTAGAGAGGAGAGCATGTGAAGAGCAAGAATTCGATGAAGAGGAAGAGGAAGAGGAAGAGGAAGAGTATGAATTGGATGAGGAGAAGACATCTTACACAAGTTCAACAACTCCCCACTCTCGCTGCTCAAAAGGGGTTTCTACTGATGAACTTGAAGACCAAGAAACCAGTAACCAAGAACCTCAAAAAACAATCTCTCAGCCAGCTCAACAAGACGCTTCACTTCTATCACAATCTTCCATCCTCTTTGAAAAACAAAACGAAAGCAAAATCAGCATTTCCAAGAGGTTTGAAGATGGCGACCCAGTTGCCACTGGGTCAGCACCAAGTCGTAACTCGGTTCTGCGTCAACTTATTGCATGTGGGAACTTGGCTGTTAATAAAACAAAGAACGTGCCTACTATGAAGCAACCGGTCGTAACAAACAATGTGGTGAAGAAGAGTGAAAATTTGCATAGAGTGGTTCTTTCTAAGAGTGCAGTGAAGGTTGCTGAAGATGATCAGATGATAAACTTCATGTCAGAGAATCCAAGGTTTGGGAACTTACAGGCTGAAGAGAAGGAGTATTTCAGTGGCAGCATTGTGGAATCAATGAATTCTGAGAACCGAATCGTGGCTGAGCCAGTGCTCAAAAAATCTAATTCCTACAATGAAGAAAGGTGATCCATCTGATTCCTGTTTAACTTAAATCAATTTAATTGCTAAAATAGAATATTGATTAATGTTTTTTTATTTCCAAATCACTTAATTATTTATTTTTTATTATGTTTTACCAGGAGCTGCAAGGCTGGACTGAGTGAAACAGTCGAAGAGGAGAAAAAAGACAAGTCAGTAAAAGGGAAATGTATCCCTAGGAAGAAATCATCCAAGCAAAACCAGAAAATGAGGGCTGACTAGGGTAAAGTTGTTGGGGCAGTTATTATTATTAACAATTAAGGGGAATGTTAAAGCTATAATTATCATGATTAAGAGAAATGTTGTGCTCTTCAAAGTAAATGGAAAAATCTTGGGGATTTATTTAATGGTTGAAAGTGAAAGGATGCTTCAATTTTCTGTCCTTTTGATCTGGTTCTGGTTGAAGGAATTATACGAACTAGAACTGTTACTACTTTGTCTCGCGTAGCAGTTTTCATTTCAGAGTTTTGTTTACGTATTCGTATCTACGGATGATAAGTATGTGTTGATTACGTGCAAATCAGCTTTTCTGAAAGGCCGTCTCAAGGAATGAAATGTCTTATTTAAATTGGATAATTTAAATCACGATATCAATATAAAAGAACGAGAATAATATAATTTAAAATTTTAATAAAAATTATAAATAAATTTAATAAAATTAAATATATATATATATTTTATGTGAAATAAATAAAAAGTTATCAAATATAAGAATTGCCAAAGTATAGCTTTATCTATGCAAGCATTTTTACAGCTATCTATGAGATTTCGATTTTGTGTTGATTGAAGCTTTCAAAGTATACATTAGCTCACGAGAAAATTTATTTTTCTCCCTTTTTTGGAAAAAAAGGGCAATTACCAGATATCCCATTAATTAAAAATTTGATTGCTATAAATTAAATTTTAATCCATTATTATATTTAAAGGTTGTTTGGTCTATGGTGAAGAAAAGTCATCGATTCTTTACAACCGTAAGCTGCATCCATTTAGAAAGTACATAACCCTTGCTACTCCTGTTTCTAGAAAAGTTTCCTTTTGGCCCAAGTATAAGCTTTTGTTAGTGAGTGCCTTAATTTAGAATAATCTTTAAGGCTAATTAAGGAACTTGTTAGGATACACTTTAACTAGTTAATGTGATGAATTTTAATGTATTAAAATGACAATTTTATGGATGCTCTATGATACTTATTTTTATAAACCACTCCTAATTAATATTAGTTTCTCGATAAATAAAAATTTAGTTTCATTTCCCTAATTGAATGATATATTATTTTAAAAGCTTAAAGTCATATTTGATGTATAAAATGATGGATAAAATAAAATAATAATTATCTTATATCATATTTGATTTGTATATAAAAAAAATAGAAATCGTAAGGAGAATTAATTTTTTTTTAGTATAAAATTATTCAATCTTCTTCAAGTGAAAAGAATTATTTTTAATCTATGAGATTAAATTTACATATTTAATTATATTCTTAAAAATTATATCAATGATTTAAATTAAATAAATATTAAAAAAAGATAAATTTGATAAATAAATAAATTATTCTATTTCAATTTTTATATACATCAAACATAAAATAAAATGATATTATTTAATTTAATTTAATTTAATTTATAATAATATCTTATCTTATCTTATTATAATTTTGTGTATCAAACATGACCTAAATTAATAGAAATCTTGTATACCAAACATAACTTAAATTAATAAAAAATTATCTAGCTATTATATTTAAAATTTAACATGCAGTCTAAAATTTAAATCAAATAAATGTTTAATGAAGTTGTATACGGATCCAAATATAAAAAGCATGATGTGCAAGCTAATGAAGGATTAGAAAAACAATGCATTGAGATAAAAATTGTTTAAAGAGAAAGTGATGGCCATGATTTGAACTCAAGAACTCTAATACCATATTAAATTTAATAATAGATTATCTTAAAAATTTAAGTTATACAAAAATGTCTAGCTATTATATTTAACTATTATGTTTATGTTGTAACATTATTTATCAAAATATTTAACCAAAAGAACTTGATTTATTGAAAATAATTATGACAATTGTAAGTTGGAATTTTTGGGAAAAAAAAGCTGCAATATCATTGACAAATTGAGAAAAATATACACCAAAAAAGCAAAGGCCAAAGTAAAAGCTTTTCGTTTTGTTGCAAAACTTATAGGCTTTGTTGCTTGGGCCTAATTTCATGGGAAAGATTTGAATGAATGTTAGTATCAATCAAATTTAAATTAATAAATATTATATTTAATATTTTTTTATATATTATTGATAGTTATATTAATTTTTATTAAATTATTTTAAAAAATTCATAAATTTTACTTAAAAAATTTCGCATAAATTTTGTCCTATCTTGGTACGGGTATTGCGTAAACAATATGACATCTTCTACACCAATTCCGTATTCAGTTTTCACCAACAGACAGAGATCCAAAGCAAAAAAGTAAAAAGGTGAGAATTTGACAATGCATAGAGCCAGTGGCTAAGACCACAGGTGATCAGCCCTATCCTACAATGACAATTATGATACCGGCTGGCCCATTGGCCATTGGGTACTTTAAAAGAAAAATTAGATTTTCGGCCGTCCAAGGTGTGGGATTAGCAGCCCAGGCCCCAACCAAACCATAGCTGCTTTAGATTCGAGGCATCAACTCACTCCTCGAGATAGAGCAACTGCTTGCTCTATTCTCTTTCCTTCCTAAGAGGAGTTATTGCACTCTCTTTTCCTTTTCACCCGTTTACCTTTCTGACTCTCATCCTTTCCTATAATGTTCCTTCACTGCAGTCTCATACGTCCTGTTTTGCTTGTGTTGTCAATTTATCTTATGCTTGTCAGTGTTCTTTTGTCGGAGGTCTCTGGTGGCATTTATTGTTACAAGTCCGCTCCTTAATCGGCCATTGTCTGTTTCGAACAATGGACTATGGTGGATGGACAGCCAAGCTATTGAGTTAGAATAAAGGCTAGAAGATGATATCGTGGGATTAACGACAGATCATGAAGTGAATAAACAAGGATTCATGGGAGGGAAAAGCATTAACGAAAATATGAGTTTGATGGATATAAAACGGGTTTAAGAAACTATTAATACAGTGAAATTTCATTAAAAATTCAACCAATGCAGCACCCTAAGCACATTATTAGCCAACTAAAATAAATTGTAAATAATAATTAATGATATGTTGGCAAGTTTCTTTGTTGGGATTGGATTTCGTCGATAAAACATATAGTTAATTACTTGAGTGTTTCATTAAGAGCCCTAATAATTAAGATTCATTACCTTTTTTTTAAATTCCATGCTTATAATTTACCTTCATGTGATGCATGCTAGCAATAACTTTTGATCCAAAATTTATGCATGTGTTATGCACATGATTTGCCTCTTCTTCATTTTAAAATTCTATAAATATTTAGCCACTTAATTAAAAAAATTATAAAATAATATGGTTTTGTAATAGGGATCGATAACATTCAATAAAGTCTACATTAATAACTACATTTTATTGACAAAAATATCAAGTCAAAGACTGAAAACTGATTTTTTTTTTTTTTTTCATGTCTTTTAGTGATCTTGTTTACCATGCTAACTTCTTTTCAGGCTTCCCCGCCATTAGGTTCGCATTTGCACATGCATATTAATACTTCTAACATTATGCTGGCTGGGCTGGCTAAAAGTAGTACAATAATTTATATTTAAACAAAATTTAGGAATTCAAAGTTTAATTCCATATGAACTTCGTGATATTTAATAAATTTAAAATTTAATTTTTTTTTATATTTAGACTGCGTTCTTCAAGACAAAATTTGACGCAAGGGAAGGGTTTGGCAAGTGGATCTGACCGAGCCCCAATTAATGCAAATTTTGAGAACAAAATGCAGCAAGAAGCGAAATCTTTCAATATTTTTGTGCATGTGACTATCTTCAATGTCCCCACTAGCAGTTTTTTACACATCAACAAGCCCACGTATAGACCACTCCTATAAAATATCCCTCTCATTGCCCCTCTGTTTTCCGTTTTCAGCCTTTCCTTCTCATTGAGAAAGCAATTTTTCTAGCGCCTCTTGCTCTCAATTCAAAGCAATGGCTACTAAGTTGTTCTTGTTGCTTGCTGTCTGTGTTCTCCCTTTGCTCGTTAATGCAAGCAGGGAACCTTTCCGCATCGTCGGTAAAGTTTACTGTGATGCCTGTCGTGCTGGCTTTGAGACATCTAAATGCTCTTACATACCTGGTATCATTAATTAAATTAATCTTTCCACCATCGATTATGGTTTTTTTTCCTTCAATTTTTGTCTCTGATCATCTCTTTCTTGGTTTTCTTTTTTTTTTTTTTTTTTCAGGTGCAAGGGTCGAAATCAAGTGCTATGACAGTATCACTTTAATTCTGAAATACAGCATTGGGGCAGCGACCGACTCAACAGGAACATATAGCATTTTGGTTGAAGATGACCACCAAGACCAAATATGCTATGCTACGCTTGTTAGCAGCCCCATTCCCAGCTGCAGAAATGCGGATCCTAGACGTAATAAGGCCACAGTTATTCTGACCCGCAGCAATGGTGCCATTTCCAACCTTCATCATGCAAATGCAATGGGATTCCTCCAGGATAAGGCAGCCGTTGGTTGCCAAGAAATGCTCGTGAAGTTACTGCAGAATGATGAATAGGGGATTTATGTGATCTTCTTTTTTTAGCATTTTTTTTTTCTTGATTAATTTACGGTGCAAGTCATGATGATGGTGTTGCTGATCGCTCAATATTCACCTGTCATTCTCTTGTGCTCATTAAATATATTGTTTTACATTATGTGAACTTTATCACAGGGGGGTTATGTAAGATGAAGGTAGGATTTACCCTTTCTAAAATTAATTTATAAGTTTCTAATCATATTAAAGAGACATTGGCCAAAAAATTCATATTAAAGTGACATTTTTTTGTGTTTTAAATATAAATTAAGATTATAAGAAGAGAAGACCATAGAATCGAATGGATAAAAATGAGAATGATGTGTTGTAAAGTACGAAGACAGACAAAGCAGCAGCCATAAAGCAATGGAAAAGTTTGTTGCGATTTGTGAACGGTTTCTTTCATTACCCTTTGATGAGATTATTATGATATAAGTCTTAAACTTTCCGAAAGAATTGGCGCCAAAATCTCATCCTAACAAACAGACCATAGAAAATATTCATTTTCATTATTCTTAC